AAGGGGGGGGGGGGGGGGGGGGGGGGGAACGGAGTACGAGGAGAGGGGGCAAAAGGGACAGCCTCGAGGCAGATCCTAAGCAGGGGCAGGAGGGGTTTAGCAGCCTGCCCACAGTTCCTCCCCTCTCCCTATGAATCGTGGGTAAGGCTAGCTGCTCGTCAGACGGTAGCATGGCAGGCGCCAGTTTTGCTGAACTTAGAAAGCAAGAGGAGGAGGAGGAGCTACATGTCTCAAACCCTGATCCAATTTGGTGCCTCCCTCAGAATCCACCCCATCCCTGCTGAATTTGCTGCCAAAATGGGATAGCATAGCAGCAACCACAATGACCCCTTTTTACTTGAAAAGTAACACAGAAGTGTCCCAGGAAGCACAGGATCTCCTTGTAAATGACAGTTTTAGAAGGGATAGCCGTCTGAAAAAGTGGATTCCTCCACAAAAGTTCAGGTTTAAATATAGCGGTTTAGATGTGCACGAACCTGGAAAATGGTGGTTCATGATGGTTCCTAGTTAGCCACTGACCACGACCTGTCACAAACCCACTGGGTTCGTGCCCAGTTTGGGGGGTGGGGTTCTACCTGCTTTGCTCTGTCATCACCAGCACTTCATTGTTTCATTTCGGCAAAACGGGATCCCTGAACCGAACCATGAACCAGTCCAGTTTGTGGATTTTTTTCTGGGTCATGGCTTGGTTCATGCTACAATATCTTTCCCTTTTAAAAAATTTTTATGTTTATGCCTTGTAAATGAAGCACACATGCATCTTGTTTGAAGGAGAAAGTGGAGCTTCTGAAGTATAAAACGGCACTTATTTTGGCACCGCACCTCGGTTTTGGGCAGTGTGGCATTTGTGCCAGAGGTTTGGTGGAGGAAGAGCCTCATGACTTCTTGCAGTTCGCCACTCTACACTCATTTTCCAGTGTGGGGCCTTTTGGAGATGTTTCAGGAGAGACGGGTTAGATCCGTGGCTCCCCTTCCTGATTGTGTAGCAGAGGTGCCTGTTGGGGAGAGGTGGCCCCACGAGCCTAGGCCCTGAGCCAACTTTGACTTTCCTGCCAGGACAAGAACATCTGGCTGTCCCTCATTGACATGCTGCGGAAGAAAGATCAGCTGCCGGTGGTGGCCTTCACCTTCTCACGCAACCGCTGTGACGACAATGCCTCCATGCTGACCACGGTTGACCTGACCACAACCACAGAAAAAAGCGAAATCCATGTCTTCTTCCAGAAGTGTATCTCCCGCCTGAAGGGCACAGACCGTCAGTTGCCTCAGGTGAAAGACCGAGAAAAAGATGGGTGGCAACTAGAGATGGGCACAAACTGCCGGTTGGTTTCCCTGCCTTATAGGTATTTGGCAGTCCCCAGCCCTGCCTCCTTCAGCAGCTGCCCACTCAAGAGGCAGTGCTCGGTGGAGGCGGGGCAGAGAAACCAGGCCACTGCCTCCAAATGGGTGCCCACTGAAGGCAGAGCTATGAACACCAGTTTGGACAGTAAATGAACCGGCACGAACTGTGCCCATCTCTAGTGGCAACAGTTCTGAAGAGAGAGATTTACCGACTAGCTCAGATGAGCGTTCAGCCTCATGACATGGCCACCTCTCTTGGGCTTCTTGGGCTTATTTGTTTATTTGTTTGTTTGTTTATTCATCTTGTATACCGTCCCATAATGCAATGCGCTCTCGGGGCAGCATACAACAAAACGTACAACAGGAAAAATAAATAAATACAAATGAAATACAAATGCAAATCAACACACAAACATGGCTGCCAAGAGGGGAAATGGAAAATGAGCAGGAAAGGGAAAATGGCAGATGCAGATTGTTTGTGTGTGTGTGTGTTGTGTTTTTTGTGCTTCCCTGGAGCACAGAGAGGCGATTTCAACATATGTTTTAAGGTTGTTTTTAATATCTGACCTGTATTATGTATTCAACTTATTTTCATCAGTCTTATGTTTCTTATAATTTATATCTCACTATACTGTAGTTTTAATTCTGTTCTTTTTAACACTGTGAGCTGCCTGAAGTTCTCTCATTGAGAGAAAGGCATCCTATAAATTGGCAAGCAAACAAACATGGCCTGTGAGTCCTAGGTGAAGATTTGTGTTCAGAAGTAACAAAATGTATGCAACAAAGCTACCTGTAATGAGAAACTGGGTGGGTTTTTTTTTAAGACAAGAAGATAATAAAGATACATACCAAAAGTAAGGCATTGAATAAGTTATGACTTTTCTCCTTTTTTTAGTATTTGGATGGGAAATTTTCAGGCAACTTCCATTTTCTTATCAATCCCAATGTTGTTGTTGTTTTTAAAGCAATGGTAGGTAACGAACCCTACAGTAAGTAACACAACAGACTGCTTTTTGGGATTGGGTTTTTAGTACTACTTGTGTTTTCCGTCTCTCTGAGTGGCATTGGGTTGGTGTGTGTGTTTTTTTTAATTCTATACTTACTATTCTTAGCTTTAATACTGCCTTTTAATGACGCAAGATGCTTCTTTGCTAGAGATGGGGATATTCGTATTTGTTAAAAAAAATCTCCATCCCAGGTGTACCTAATGAGGGTCCGGCCCTCAGAACCGGCCCGTCCACTCATGGGCCACTCATGCCACCAGCATCCCACCCTTCCCACCAATCACGGAAGTCGCTCCGCCATCTCCTGGCTTGATTGGCCACTTCAGGCAGGGGGCGGGAGGACAAGTCTCCCTGCACGGCTAGCTGAGCGTTCCTTGCTCTTTGTTCTTAGCTTTAAATGTTGTCTTTTAATGATGTTAACCACCATTGTCTACTCTTTGTTCTCAACTTTAAATATCGTCTTTTGCTGTTGGAAGAAGCCTTGAGGTCCTTTTCAGGGAGAAAGGCGGGGTAACAAAATACTTTAAATAAACAAATAAATATCCCAGTGAGTAAACAAGAACATTTTAGGAAGTGATGGGAACAAATGACTTTTAGGAAAGTAACTTTCCAAGCGGTGGCTAAGACCTCTCAACATGGCAACTCTTCACAAATTCATGCCTTGGACTCCACAAGATGGCTGCAGAGATGAGTCCAGGGCGCTCCCTCATGAGCCAAAGAGCCGCCTCTTCTTCTGTTTTGGGTCACCAAGACTAGCCGAGGAACCCAAGACAGCCACTGTTTACGAGGCCTTGCCATTAAAATATACAACGAAGTCCCTTGGTTGTAAGATGCCTCTTGTTTTATATTTTCAAGGTTCTACACATGGTGGATCTCTTGAAGCGTGGCATCGGAGTGCATCACAGCGGCATCCTGCCCATCCTGAAGGAAGTCGTGGAGATGCTCTTCAGCAAAGGGTTGGTCAAGGTGAGCCCTGCCCGACTCGTGAGGCAACAGGAAGAGAGATGTGGTGGTTGAGCGGACAAGGCCCTTTCCCCTCAATGAAACAGAGCAGTGGGGGGGGGAAGGTTTTCCCTCCGGGCCCCACTCATGCGCCTTTAAACATGCTCCAGCCGGCTGGCAAAACTTCCGGAATTCATTTTCGAGTGGTGTGGGGAGAAGAAATCCTTGTTGGACTAGGTCAGCCTGCGGTTGTGGAAGTTAACACAGGATTGGATTTGGACCAGAGCAAGAAAGAGAGGGGGATGGAATTCCCATTGCGGTGTAGTGGATCAAGGGATGGGCTCTGGAGAACAGGGTTCGAATCCTGTTAACACAGGATTGTTGGACCCGAGCAAGAAAGAGAGGGAAATTCCCATTGCAGTGTAGTGGATCGAGGGATGGACTCTGGAGAACAGGGTTCGAATCCTCACTTGGCCACCGAAACTCGCTGGGGGAATTGGAACTGGCAAAACCACTCCTAGAATATCTCACTCGCCTTGCAAACCCTATGGGGGTTGCCATAAGTTGATTCCGGCTTAACAGGGCAGAACACGCACACACACACACGAGAGAGAGCAGATTGTGCAGGGACTTAGCCTGTTCCCTTGTCGCTCTTGTTGTAGATCCTCTTTGCCACAGAGACTTTTGCCATGGGGGTGAACATGCCAGCAAGGACCGTGGTCTTCGATTCAATCCGTAAACACGACGGCACTAATTTCCGGGATCTGGTGCCAGGTAATGAAAACTCTGGCAGGAGCGGGCATGTGGGACCTCCCCTCCCCCCCCACATCACTTCTGTTGTGCATCCTGTTTTTGTCTAAGTGCTTTCAAGCCTAAAAAAGTTTTTGCAGACTTTTCTGCCCCACAAGTTCTTTCATCCCACAAGTTCTTTCATCCACCTGTTTCTTTGCTTACCTGCCTGCTGTTCTCGCTGCCTGTTTGCAGCCCCTTCGAAAGAGGGAGCAACGGCCTGGGATAACCAAACCCATGTCGCTTGTTCCCACGTAAGGAGAGCAGAAACTCACCACGAGGGCAGCGGCTTGATCTCCTTTTGTCCTACTTTTAAGACCGAGGGGGTGTCCTGTGGCTGCAGTTCTCATTGCCTTGTCCGGTGACGACTTCGCTCACACGGGGAACTAAAAGCTAAGCCAGGTGTTCCCAGCTGGGTGTCTGCCTTGAAGGCTGCAGAACTTCCATAACCGCAGGCAGGCATGCCGGCCCGGAGGTGACTCATCTTCCCCCTGCCTTTGGGCAAGCAGGCAGTTTGGTTTGTTGCCCTTTGGAATCCCTACAAATCCCTCACTGGCATTTCGTCTTCTTTTTTTTCTGCTGTCGTTATGTGGCGTCGAATCGCCCCAACTAATGGCTACCCCAGGAATGAGCTACCTGCAAAAGGTCCTGACCTTAACAGCCCTGCTCAGCTCTTGTAGACTCAAGCCTGTGGCTTCCTTTTGGAGCCGAGCTATCTCGTGTTTGGTCTTCCTCTTTTCCTACTGCCTTCTGCCTTTCTGACCATGATGGTCTTTTCCAGAAAATCCTGCCTTCTCATGAGGTGCCCAAAGTAGGGCAGCCTCAGTTTCAACATTTCTGCCTCCAGAGATGGTTTGGGCTTGGTTTGGTCTAGGACCCTCTTGTGTGTCTTTCCGATTGTCCAGGGTATTTGCAAACCTCTCCTCCAGCACTACATATCAAACAAATCAATTTCAATTTGCCTAGCTTTCTTTTCCTGTCCAGCTTTCACGCCCCTACAAGAGGATGGTTGATCTTTGAGCCCATCGTCCATGTGTACACCTCTCTTTCTCCCTCTCTCTCTCAGTCTCAGTCTCTGTCTCCCTCTCCCATAGCTGAGTACATCCAGATGGCGGGCCGAGCAGGACGCCGAGGGCTTGATACGACTGGGATGGTCATCATCCTGTGCAAAAACCAAGTGCCTGAGATGGCTGACCTTCACCGAATGATGTTGGTGAGATGCTGTGTTACCTCTTTTTCCCTTTGTCACCCCATGCAAATTTTTGTCTGTACTTTTCCCCTCTGTCTCTCTCCCCCACCACACACACACACTCTTGGTCTCTAAATCTTATCCTGACTCTACCTCTGTCTCTGGCCAGGGCAAACCGACTCAGCTGCAGTCCCAGTTCCGTCTCACTTACACCATGATCCTGAACCTCTTGAGGGTGGAGGCTCTGCGAGTGGAGGACATGATGAAGAGAAGCTTCTCGGAATTCCACACCCGGAAAGACAGCAAGGTAGGGGGAGAAGGTTCAGCCGCCCAACCCGATCTCATGTAATTTCATGATCTGGGAAGTCAGAATCTGAGCAGAGAAGCCCTCTGAAGTCTTCCGTGGTGTACAGTAGGACCCCCATATTCATGTGCGATTAGTTCCGAGCCCTTCCCCATGGATGTTGAAAACCGCAAATAATAACAAACACTATACATACCACGGTACAAGAAAAGAAAAACATGATTATTTTCACATGCATTATCAGAACTGGCCACTAGAGGGTGCCAGAGAACTTACTATAAATTCTTCAACCACAAAAATTCATACCACAGTTGCTGACTCCCTCTACTGGCCAGTTCTGATAGTACATGTGTGAAAATGATTTTTTTCCAAGATTTTTTTTCTGTTGGTATTTTTAATATTTTCAGACCATGGATAAGTGAAATTGCAAGATATTGATCCCATGGATACAGGGATCCTACTGTATAATGCCCATTCCTGTACCTTGGAGTCTTGGCTCCTGCGCGCCGAGGCGATAATGGATATGTTTCAGCTAGTACAGCTTGAAGGAGTGAAGAGGATACAGTACATGGAGACATGAGAGGTAGCATAGATGTTCTGGACTCTTCCCCTTTCTGGCTCATAAAAGGGGCAAGGTGGGACTACTGGCCAAGCGACTTAGAGAAGTAGCAATTCCAATGTGTTGGGGGGGAAAGCCCATGAACTCCAACATGCTGGATAACTATTAGGGGATGTGAAATGAAGCACAGCTACTGCCATGATTCATTCCCACCCCGGTCCACACATCCATCAGCATCGTTGTCACACCAATCACGGACATGGTCCCGCTGGTGCTTCCCTGCCTCCCCCCGCAGCCGACCACTTCAGCAAGGAGGTGGGAAGACAAGTCTCCCTGCTCAGCTGCCAAGTGATTGGTGCAACAACAATGTTGACAGATGCGCGTGTATTCCCTGAATACAGATACGAAGTGCCCATCTCTAATAGCGAGAGGCACTGTTTGCATTTTGAGTAACATGACAAATGGAGGAGTCGCTGAGGAGGCTGGATAAGACACCCCCTCCGTGGGATCGGTATCTGTTGATTCGCTTATTCGCTGCCTGAAAATATTAAATGAAAAAACCTCAGAAAGATGTATTGATATGTATCTCCAGGTTGTAGTCACAAGAACTGACCACGAGGGGGAGCCAGAGACCATGCAATGTACAGCATCCAATACTTCAGCATTTTTCAGCATCTGTGGGGGAAGTTTTGGAACCCAGGCCCCACAGATATTGCAGTACTACTGTACATTAAGGCTGCTGCGGATACGCACACTGCCTGCAGTTCACACTATGTCTGTCCCTAGACTACCTCACTGGTATCTGTTCTGATTGGCCACAATTCTTTACGAGTTCAGGAGAGGCTCCTTCCTCATCCTTTCATTGTGGGAGATGGAATTTGGCAATTTCTGCAGGATGAGTGTGTGCTCTTCCAGTGAGTTGTGTAGCAAAGAGGACCACGAGGGCTCTGTGTTCATACTCCCCCCCCCACCAAACTTGGGCGCTTGAATGTTTCGTGTACTGGAAGTTTAATTTAGAAGGCTCCAGGTTAAGGATGGCTGATCTGCCACAAACATTTGATATATCACATTGTTTTCTTCTCACTGGATTGTGGAAATTAGTTCGACATGTCTGCCTTGCTTTGCCTTTCAGTGGAGTCCCTTTCTTCCTCTCTTGTGTTCCTCCCAGCAGCTTTTGGAAGTGGGTTCAGAGGGAAGCTGGGTGGGGGAGGGTTGGGTGCTGTGCAGCTTCTCTCATCATCCTACCTTTCTCCCAGGCCCACGAACACAGAGTCGCCCAGCTGAGCTCCATCCTGGCCAACATGGAAGCGCCAGATACGTCAGGACAGCTCAGTGACTTGAAAGAGTATTATTATGTGGTTCGAGAGCTGCAGGAGACCCGAGACCTCATACAGGTACAGAACCTGAGGCATGGGATCCAAGATTTCTCCCCCCTACCCTGGAGTTGTCATCATTCAGCTCTTAACTGGGTGGCCAGAATCCTTTTGCATACTTAGTGGCACTGGTGAAAAGGTGTAACTTGTAGCAGCAGATGGCCGCTAATTAAAGAGTCCCTGCTTGGATTCCTCATGGTGCAACCAGTCAGGTGGCTTCGCACACGACCAGGAATCTAAGCGAGACTCTTTCATCAGCAGAGAGTTGGAGCTGTGAGTTATGCCATTTCCCTTCTGCTAGTGTAACTACTCATCGTCATCATCATCATCATGTGTCATCAATTCTGACTTACTTACTTGGAAGTCCTTTCCCATCTCCTTCTTTTCGGGGTGGGATCCTGGGACTGCGCAGCTTGCCCAAGGCTACCCAGGCTTTGTTGAGAATTTTGATTATAACGTGTATTCACATAACTTCAGCAGAGTAAGGAGATATTGGTTAGCAGAGATCCTTATGACACAACGACGCTGAGAGTGTAAAACCAACAACTTAGTCTATTTACATATATACATAGAGAATAGACAGTCCTCTGACATGAAGCAACACACAACCTAGGAAAACATGACCTGACTTACAGCAGGTAAGGACGTTCATTTTACGCATGATTTATGTACAGTTCGGTGACCAATCAAAAAAATACATTACACTTCATTTTCTGTTACGCAAAGTTTCATCATGTACACAGCTGTACAACAGTAAGTCTTAATCCTTGACACCCATAGCTGGATACAAATCGGTACAGTGACTGAGGTAAAATCAGCCATTTTACATTTAACTATACAGCATTAATATTTCATACATTTTCATATCAAAATCTCAGCAGGCTTGCTCTTTCCCGAGGAATCATGGTGGGGAATCGAACCCCCAACCTCTGCCTAGCTCCACAGCTAGAGACTTAAACCACTGAGTCTGTGGCTCCACTGCTAGAGGCCTAAACTTCTGAGCTATCCAGCCCGCTGCGCAACCGGACTTGGGCCTTTCAGCCACATTGTGCAAACTCTCTAGGACTTGCTTACGGGAGGGCACGCTCTCCCTGAGATAAGCCTCCCAAGGGGCATCTTTCCTAGGAGACAGCATCACGTGGAGCAGACCTGGGCAAAGTGTGGCCGTCCAGATGTTCCTGAACTGCAAATCCCAACATTCCTCACTGTGTGGGCTAGGCCCAACTCTCCTCACTATTGGCTGTGTGGGCTAGGAATTATGGGAGTTGCAGTTCAGCAACATCTGGAGGGCCGCATTTTGCCCACCACTGACATGGAGCCTGAGACGACGAGCCATCTGCCCTTATCTAAAGGAAAAAGGCTAGTGGTGGCCAGGTCAGGCATTATCTTTGGAAAGCAGAAGACTAATAAATCCAAATTAAATGTCGCCGTCCTTCGCACACCTAATCTGGTTTACAAAGGCATAAGCGGTTGGTCCATCGCTTTCCCCCTTTTCTCCTCCACTCTCCTTCAGTGGATGCTCTCCTTCCCCAATTTTGCTTCTATAAATTATTGAAAGCAAGGGGAAAACCCTCAAGGGGGTAAATCCTGAAACTGCCTGCCCGAAAATTGTAAATTACGTATTTTAAAAGTTTGGTTCACGGCCTTTCTCCCTTTCCGGGGGGTTCTACTGAATTGGCGGGTGACTTTTTCAAACTGGGAGGGTCTCTGGCCTTCCAGGGGTTAATGGATTACTACTTGGAGTCTACTTTAAAGCTGGCTGGATCGCACAGAGGTTTTAGACCTTCTGGCTGCAGAGCCAGAGGGTTGGGAGTTGGATTCCCCACGGGCCCTCCCAAGAGGAGGAGAAGCAGCCCCCCCCCCGGGTGGACTTGGGCAAATCTGCCTCGTCCCAGGGCTAGGCAGAAGAAGGGGAGGGCGAACCGTTTCTGAGCTCTCGCGATCTGGAAAAGTCAGAACTGACTTGATGGCATGCAATTGTTACTTTGAGTCTGGATGGGGGATTATGGGAACTGGAGTCTTAACATCTGGAGGGAACCCCAAACCTGCTTCAGAGGGAGGCCTCTGGTAATAAAGCAAAAACAAAATGTGCTGCATATATACTGCCCCCCCATAGCACTTAAAGCACCCTCAAGGGTGGTTTACAATTTAATTATGCAGGCTGGGTACTAAGTTCACCCACCTTCTCAGGATGGAAGGCTGAGTCAACCTCGAGTGGGCTCCCTGGGATTGAACTCTGGGTGGGTGAGCAGAGTTTGGGCTGCCGTCCTGCAGGTTCACCCACCTCCTCAGGATGGAAGGCTGAGTCAACCTCGAATGGCCTTCCTGGGATTGAACTCTGGGTGAGTGAGCAGAGTTTGGGCTGCCGTCCTGCAGTTTAACCCACTGTGCCACGAGGCTCCTCACGAGGACAATCCTGCCGCCTTCCCAAGTTAGCCGCTCTCTAGACAGGTTGGACCGCAGCCCCTTTTACCCTCTACCTTCTCAGGCATAGTTGGGCGGGGGATGATGGGACTTAGTGTACCTCATTGGAGAAGCACCCGTTTGGGGGGGGAGGGCTGGAACATAAGATTTCGTCTGTTCTGAAGACATATTAGCAAAGGGAGGAAAGGATCTTGAGACTCACTACCCCTGCCCCTTTTCCTCCCTTTCAGAGGCGAGTTATGGAATCCATGAATGGGCTGAAGGCCCTTTCTGTGGGGCGAGTGGTGGTCGTGAAGAATCAGGAGCACCAAAATGCCTTAGGGGTGGTCTTGCAGGTAAGCATGGGAAGGCGGGGGGGGAGGAGGTGGCGAGACACGCACACCTTTGTTCACCCTTGTGCTGAGAAACCTCCAATAACCAGTTAATTCGACTTGTCTATATACCATGCATGTTCTGTGTTTAGCCTTGAATTACCTTGATTGGGTCCATTTGGGGATGGAACCGTCAAGAAGATGAAGGCGGGCTCATCCCTTGGGCCAAAGAAGGGCCTCCGGGCATTGAGGCCACCCCCCTTTGACCCTTGGCGGATCCTCCACCCAAGATCCTTGCCTCTCCGTTTGTATCTTTCTGTGGCTGGAGTTAAGCACAGCATATTTCATTCCGTCATTCTCTCCGCAAGAGGCTCATCCCTAGGGCCATAGCAGGGCCAGGGCGGACGGCCTCCGGCCATTGAGGCCACCCCCCTTTGACCCTTGGCGGATCCTCCACCCAAGAGCCTTGCCTCTCCGTTTGTATCTTTCTGTGGCTGGAGTTAAGCACAGCATATTTCATTCCGTCATTCTCTCCGCAAGACTGAGGACCAGATCCTGCAGTCTGGTGCAAAAGTTTAGAAAAGTTACCTTTGAGACTACAGTCATCAGAATTCCTTCTGCCTGAGAATTCTGATTATTGTCCTCTCCGAAGTAACTTTTTCTGGGAAAGCTCTGCTCTGGAGTGCCTGGACAGGATTGTGGAGGTCTGGTGGGTGGGTGCTGCTGTCCTTATTTGTTTATTTGTCTGTTGATTGATTGATTGATTGATTGATTGATTGATTGATTGATTGATTGATTGACTGGGGGTGGTGTTTTGAACCCATCTCTAACTTAAGTTCTTGGACCTGGGCTTTATTAGGTTTCTTCCGACTCAACCAATCGGTCCTTCAGCACCTTGGTGATATGTGAGAAGAATCCCACTGAAGGGGAGACCCCCACGAACACAAAGAGCGACCTCCCCTCCCCTCCAGAAGTGCCTCTTCCTGATGACCTTCTGCGCACCAAGCTCTTTCTTCCCGAACGTAAGATGGCCAGATACCTCAAAAAGGTGGAATGAAATTGCTTCCTTGAAATCTGGAGATGTGGCTTCAGGACATTTAAGTGGGTTATGGCAGCGGTCCCCAACCTCTTTAGCCCCGTGGACCAGCCAGGGAAGGCAGGGCACTCCGCTGCGCTCGTGTGCATGCACGAAGGGCAGCACAGTGCTCATGCGGGCACATCGGGTTATGGGGAGGATCATTATTGTGTGCAAGGAAAACTTTGAACCCTCTCTTCAAGTCACAATGTGCAAATGTAACTTTGAATCTGAAGTATGATAAAAAAAAATTAGAATTGTAGCAGGAGGACAGCTCACTCGCATGGAGATGCAAACAGGGTGCGGGGGAGAAGTGTGTGCAGGGGGTGGGGGGAGTTCTGTCTCTGCGGCCCGGTTCGGCTCAGGTCACAGACCAGCACCGGGCCATGGACCACAGGTTGGGGAACTTGGTTATGGGGAGGACTGTTATTGTGTGCAAAGAAAACTTTGAACCCTCTTTTAAAGTCACAATGTGGAAATGCAACTTTGAATCTGAAGTATGATAAAAAAATTAGAATTGTAGCAGGAGGACAGGAAGAGAGCTTGGACTTGAGGGAACAGCTCTCTTCCTTGGCAGCCTTTTTTGAAATATTGCTGGGAAGGGCTTACAGTAGGACCCCCATATCCATAGGGGATCAATTCCAGCCCCACCCCCATCTCAGGATGCTGGAAAACATGGAGCTCTATTTTAATAGCAAACCCAATATTCAGCATGGTCTCTGGCTCCCTCTCTTGGCCAGTCCTGGTAACATATATACGGATTTTTCTTTGAATACTTTTAATATTTTCAGACTGTGGATAAGTGATAGGTGAATCAGTGGATTCTGATCCCGCAGATAAGGGGGCCCTACTGTACTTCAAGAGATCTAGAAACGTGCATTAAACGAACAAGGAAGCAAATGCTTTTAAAAGTCATAGCTGGCAAGGCAGTGATACCCAAAGGAAGTCAAGTTCCAAGTCATGTTGATTGGCCTGGTTTGAGTTATGGATGTTAGTGGTTTGCTAGCCAATTTTTCTCCCTTCCCCCCAACCCAGGTTCCTGTGGACATACGATAAAGAAGCTAGGCTCCTCCGACATCTCCGGTATCACAACCAAAACTTTGCGTGTCAATGCTGAACGCATCCTGGAGGATTATAAGAAGCGACAGATGCCTAGGTTCAGGTGAGTTAGGGAGGCCGTATGTGCTCTGTAAGTACAGTACGGGCCACCCACTTAACGGAAAAGGTTTGTTCTGGACGACAACCCCCACAATCCCCCAGCCAACCTGGGGGATTCTGAAAACCGTAGTTCTTTGCCGAAGTAATTCCAAGCTCTGGTTAAAAGATTTAAGAGCCAAAAGAGGAAATTGATCCAGGTTATTTGGAATTCCAGCATAAAAATGGTCTCGCCACTTGTCCCTGCTTTTCAAATACTGTATTTGCCAGCATATAAGATGACTTTTTTGCCCTGAAAAATATGCCTCCAGGTGGGGGGGGGTTGTCTTATATACCGGGTGCACCCAGAGCGGGCAGCATGTAGCACAAGGAGGAAAGAGGAGAAGTGAGCGAGGAAGAGGAGGAGGAAGAAGTGGAGGCGGCGGAGGTAGTGCCTCTTCTCCCAAGGAGACAGCGGGTGGCTCCGGCTCTCAGGAGCCGCATGGCCCAGCAGGAAGCAGCATGGAGAGGCGAGCCCAGCCCGGGAAGCGGGCAGAGCTCGGTCCCCACTAGCTCAGTCACTTCCTCGACACTGTTGCCCTCCCGGAAAGCAGCAGCAGCGCTGCCTCCTTCTTCCCCGTGACCTACCAAGTCTCCTCGGGAGTCCGGCGCGGCGGCAGCGCTGGCTTGTCGCTGTGAGGAATTAAGTTAGGCAGCAAGAACTTTCACCTAGTTTTTTCTGCACATTGCTTATCTGGTAACTGGAAAAAAAAAAATAAAATAATATAGCTGGCCGAAGGGAGTGGGAGTTTCCCTAGATAAAAAGACAGTTTAAAAAACAGCAAGGAGAGAGTTCGTTTTTGCTGCTGAGAGGAAGAAGACAAGATGGAGATTTATGATGGACTGAAGAAACATTTACATGATTGATTTTATAGTCGTTGCTGAAATATCCCTACAACTAAAAAACTTCTGTGCTTTACCAGCTGTATTCAAGGACGTGAGATAATAATTTTTTTTTATTTAGAGAATGTGTTTAAGTATTTTTCTAGAGAAATGCAATGAAGGGGAGGGAAACTGCTTAGAGTAAAAAATTGTACAAATATCTATTTATATTATATTAGAGTTATGTTGATTTAATTCTTTAATAAATACTTCTGTCTATTTGACAGTTTAAAATTATGTTCTTTCCTGACCAAACCGAATGCATTTTGAGTACTGAATTTACGCTACCTAATTAATTGATGATTCAGCCCAACCAATTAAAATCTTATATGTCTGTGTTGTGTTATTTAAAATCAAGTGGGCTTTTTGAAACAGACAAGAGTAAAGCTCCTAACTGTTTGTATTTGGGCTGACGGACAGCAGAGAGAGGGGATTGCTTTGTTTGTTTATCAAATCCCTACTTGTGCTTCTCTAATTACTTTATTACAGCTTCTTAGGAACTGAATGAAGTAAATAAGAGTCGTTATAGTCGCAGGCGCCGTTTGCTTGCCAGCTTCTCTCTTGCTTGCTTGCTAATCTGTTGCAGCAAGTAAGCAAGAGAGAAGCTGGCAAGCAAAAGGCGCCTGTGGCAAGCCAGCACCACCCCACTCGACGCCAGCGCCAGCGCCGCACCGGGCTCCCAAGGAGACTTCCGGAGGCTGGGGGAGCAAGCAGGTGCTGGCCTCTGCCTCGGGCCAGCTGGTAGCCCGCCCCAGAAACTTGCTTTCCTTCCCCTCCCTCTTTGGCCCCTCCGGTGGCATAAAAGGCAGAGGGAGGGGGTAGTCTTATACGGCGAGTATATAACGAATGCTAGATTTTGAGTGGAAATGTTGGGGTCGTCTTGTATGCCCAGTCGTCTTATATGCTGGCAAATACGGTACTTGAAAGGTATTTGAATACAAACGAGAGGCAGGATCTGTGCTCAGTCATCCCAGAGGGCAGAACCACAAAATAATGGGCTCAAGCGACATGAAGTGTATTTAGGCTGAATATCAGGAGATACTTCCTAATTGTCAGTGCAGTAAGACAGCGGGACCCCTTACGTTGGGAGGTGTTGAGCGCTCCAGCGCTGGAGGCATTCAAGAGAAAACTGGACCACCCTCTGTCAAAAGTGCTTTGAGTTGGGTTCTTGCACAGAGCAGGGAGGGGTTGCTGGCCCTTGATCGCCTTATAGGCCCCTCTTCCAACTCCATGATTCTTTGATTCTACTTCTGCTCTCGCCATTGGCAGGAATGAGCCGCCAGGTCCATCTGCGGCCACAGCCACCCAGGAACTGCTGCGTTTGGCCGAGGGCTCCCCGGAGGGCCTCCCCCTCTTGGATCCCATCAACGATCTTCAGCTAAAGGATCTGGAGGTGGTGGAGGGCATAGTGAAGGCCCGGCGCCTTGAGGAGGCACTGCCAGGATTTCAGTGTGTGCATAGCCCCCGCTTCCACATGGAGGTATTATGGGGTGCGGGGCTGGGCTGGGCAGGAACAGAGGGCTGGAGAGTCTGAGGCTGCCCTGCTAGAACTTGAGTGAAATCAAGGAATCCGAACAGCTGGGGTTAGGACGCCGACCCCCGTCAGGCCTCATCATGGGCTGGGCTGTGTGAGGGCTGATGGGAGTTGTAGTTTAGCCACATTTCAAGGTAGGTTCTGACCAAAATGATGAACGCAGGTTCGTATGTGTGAATGTAATGTCTACAGTTGGACACGTCTGCAAAATTCTGTACTCGGAGATTCTTTGGCTTCAGAAAGGGTCAGACCTCCGCAGGCGACGGGGTGACAAAGTAGCACGCTGAAGGTTCACAGGAGGAAGTAAATGGGGGAAACACTTCTAAATATTCTCTACCTGGAAAAACCCTGGAAACCGTGTCTCCATAAGTCAGGACGGAATTGAGGGCACAGGACAGTTATTAAAGGAAAGCATGCAGAAGCCAAAGATGAGCAGACTTGACCCTGAAATGTTGCAGCTGCCTGTTTAGTCAGGCATTGGGGGGGGAAAGGGGGCTGGAAGGAGGAGCTTTTCAGCCTCACTTGGGGATGGCAGGAGGTTGGGGGAAGCCGAGTTAAGATCCTTACCTCTTCTTTCTGCTCCCTTTTTTCCCCTGCAGTTTGTGCGGTTCCGAGAGCGCCAGCGGGTGCTGGAGGAGATAGAGCAGCTACGTTACCTGCTCTCCGACCAGTCCCTCCTCTTGCTGCCCGAGTATCACCAACGCGTCGAGGTAGGAGCTTTTCCGGGGCAGTTTGAGGACAAGGGTTTGGCCAAGGTGGCCCGAGAAAAGGGCCCTGGGGAAAAACCCCATCTATCCCCCTGAGCCTCCCTCCTTGCCTGTCTGAGCTCTGTCTTCCTCCTTTGGAAGCAGCGGCAGCCCAAGAGGGTTGAGGGAGCTGCTTGGAGCAATGCTTCCAGGAGAGAGCAAGCTTGACGCCAGGGGTTCCCGACCTTGGGTAGGTCAGGTGTTCTTGGATGGCACCTCCCAGAAGCCTCCGCCACTCATTGTGCCGGCCAGGATTTCTGGGAGTTGCAGTCCGAGAACCCCTGATTTACCCAAGATTGGGAACCACACCTGGGATGGGGGTTCGAGTTCTCCTCAAAGGGTTGGAGCCCATGCCCCGTCAGCGACCACAAGCATAGCCACTCTTTGAGGCTGACGAGAGCACCCTCCAGAGAGCTACTAGGTCTCCAACTTCGGTGTGTTCAGACCAGCTGAGCACACACCAGTACAGTGGTGCCTCGCTTGACGAGGATAATTCGTTCCGTTCAAATTGCTGTTAAGCAAAATCCTCGTCAAGCAAAACAAAAAAGCCCATTGAAATGCATTGAAAACCAGTTCAATGCGTTCCAATAGGCGATATACCTCAGCATCCAGCAAAGATCCTCCATAGGGTGGCCTTTTTTCGGTGCCTGTAAAGCGAGGTATCCGTCCTAAAACACAGCGGGGAGCCATTTTGAAGACCCAACGATCAGCTGTAAAGATCATTGTTAAGCGAAAAATCGATTCCCGAAGCAGGGAACCGATCGTCGTTAAGCGATTTTTGCCTATTAAAACATCGTTTTGCGATTGCAAAAGCGATCGCAAAAACTTCATTGTCAAGCGATTTCCTCATCTAACGAGGTAATCATCAAGCGAGGCACCACTGTATATGTAATACTTACTGGGGTTTATTTGAATTGGATTAAGGAGTTTCCCTAAGCAGCTACTGTCATTTTGATCAGCCTCACGTCAATTTATTGTAAATGCGGAGGGAGATTGGGGGGCTGCCATCAGGTTTAAAGAAACCTTAACTGATAGATAGACAACATGTTTCCTTAAGGGGCCTTTCAAATAGAACGGACAGTTGTGGTTTTTTTAACCATGTACATATCGCTGCAGCTATCTGCTGTTGAGCATCTTATAACACATAACAAAGGTTAAAGACGTGGTCAGTCAGGTTTGTCTTTAGTTAAATAGAAAGCTCTGTAGATTTGACTGCTGGATAGCTTGGTGGTTTAGGTCTCAGACGGTGGAGCCAGAGGCTGGGCGTTTGATTCCCCACTGACTCCTAGACTAGATGGGCAGGGTGATCTATAGGGTCCCTTCTAGTTCTGCAGTTCTAGAATGATAAGACACATAATAATGCAGGAATAGAGCGCATGTGGGTCTCCAGATGCAGCTGGGTTTCCACCGCACCCCGGACATCAGCTTCTGTGTGTCCCACCCCACCCGTTATGGTGGGCACCAGTGTCCGCCACCACGGCCGTGCACCCCTGGGGGGGCGCTGCCTTCTTTCCTCCATGACTGCGGCAGGTCTACCTTCTCTCCTACCCCCTCTCAGGTCCTGCGTTCCCTCGGCTACATCAACCACAGTGGGGCCGTGGAGCTCAAAGGGAGCGTGGCCCGTCAGATCAGCAACCACGAGCTGCTCCTGACGCAGCTGCTCCTCGACAACACCCTGACGGACCTGCGGCCGGAGGAAATTGTGGCCTTGCTCAGCTGCACCGTCTGCCAGGTGCGCACCCAGGTGGAGCCCCAGCTGCCCTCCGTCCTTCAGAAGGTGAGGGTCTGTGACTGAATGGGGGACAGGGAGTAACCATTGTGGTCACTGCTGTTTCAGCAGCAGGATTTTTGGGCATGCGGCGTGGCAAAGGCTCGACCCCCCCCAATCTGCACAACCCTGAAAAGCGACTGGGGCTCATTCATTCATTCATGGAGACTTTGGGTCTTTATGTGGCTACAGATTGTAAAATTGTTTTTTTCCCTTCATTTTCTCAGAAACTCTTTTTAGTGCTTTTATCTCTTTCCCCTTTACCTCTAGTTTTATAGGATAAAATGTTCTATTCTCTACTGGGTTTTTTTTGCCTTTGTTTTATGATGCACTTTTTCAGACATTGTATTACTACTGTATTTTATTTTATTTTTAGTATTTGGTTTGAAATTACAGTAGGGTCCCCTTATCTGCAGTAACAGTATCTGCTGATTAACTTATTCACAGTCTGGAAAATATTAAAAGAAAAATCCCCAAAAAATGTTTCTAGTGGTGAAGTTACCAGAACTGGCCACGAGAGGGAGCCAGAGGCCTTGTGATGGGTAGCATTCACTATTATAATAGGGTTTGCTATTATCTGCATTTTGCAACATCTCTAAGGGGGGCTTGGAACCCATCTCCTGAAGATACGGGAGTCCTGCTGTATGCACTGCTGTAGGAACTCTGGTCAATGAGCCAATTAAAAAATGTATTACAATTTGTTGTGGTGGTGGGTATATATTCTCATTAAGGTAAGAGTGGCTGATTCCTTTTCTTGGAATCAAACACATTGCAAGCTTTCATGGAGAAAATTCCACCTCTTCAGGCTTCACGGATCCCTGTAGCTTGGTCCAAAGGAGGCTGTGGCTTGAGACCACAGCCTCAAGAGGACCGACATCCACGCTCACAGACTTGTGCCATCCTTTTTGGCGATTCTTGTCTACAGTGTTTCTGCGCTATCCACGAAGAGGCGTCGCTCAGTCTGAAGTGGTGGAATTCTCTCCATCAATACAGGGCTTGAGAACTGTGATCTGATCCCCCTTGGACTCTTGTACTTGTTTGATACTTTGAAGGAAGCAGTGCCTTTGACCAGAGAATAGAAGTGATGCGTTCCCATGCCAAATCTGTCATTCCAATAATTATATTTCTTGCGTTGAGCAAGAAGAACAAAAGGGACTCGTTTTAAAAATGATTCAAAGCTGTTATGATGTTAAAACCCTTGTTCTTTAGATGTCTCCGCCGGCTTCTCCATTTGGTAAATGCAAAGGTCTCGATGTTATGGTTGTGGGTTTTTGGCAGTGTTCTGAAGGTCAAGGGACTCTTTTTAAAAATGTTTCAAAGCTGTTATGATGTTAAAAACCGTTGTTCTTTAGATGTCTCCACCAGCTTCTCAATTTGGTAAATGCAAAGGTCTCTTGATGTTAAATTCGGACACGGTGTGTTTGAGCACTGGTTTCTGTCTTCCTCCAGCCAGTTCAGTCCAGATGCTTTGAAACCCCCCCTCCAGCCCCTGTCAGCCTCCCAACTAATGATCAGGAATTCTGAGGCATGGCGTTTAGAACCGCTGGACGGTGCTGAATTGGGGGCAGAGCTACTGACCGGCACTCCTGGTTCACAGAATCCCCCGTCTCTTGCTTTGCCCTTCAGGGCATCGAGCACATCCGATCGGTGGCCGAAGAGATCGCCCTTTTGCAGCGGAAGTGCGGCCTGCAGGAGTCTGTGGAGGACTTTGTTGAGCAGTACAAATTCGGGCTGGTGGAGGTGGTCTACGAATGGGCCCGCGGCATGGTAAGTGTTTGAACTCCGTTGCCAGCCTTTCTGCCTTCCAGTGTGAACTTGCCTCTCTTAACTGGGTCTTCTTCCCGTTTCCTCCTTCAAGGCCGACCAACGGCCCTCTGCGGAGAGCCGGTCTGCCTGGTCACTTCCTGAGCATAACAATTCTTGAACAAAGGCCTAACGGGG